GCTAATCATTATCTCTAATAATATTAAATTTAATATGTTGTAAACTGACTTCTATGCTTTTTTAATTATTTCTTTATGAAAAAAATGTAAACTTTTTATATGTATGGTTATTTTAAAATATTTGATATTTAAAATTACATCGGATTAAAATAATTTTTTATTTTGTTAAGCAAATAGCGATTTAAAAAAAAACGTGATCAAGGAATCGATAAATAAAACTTACAAAAACTGTTCATCAGCTCCCTGTGTTTTATACACTTGCCTACATATTCTGTAATTATATAGTTACAGTTATGAAACTAAATTTATCTGCAATATATATATATACATCCTTTGGCAAAAAAATATCCTCCTTGCCTCCGTCATCGTAGTATTAAAAAACATCAAAGTTTCAAGAGATATATAACGAGTTACACGCTGAAAGCAGAAACATCGCAGTACCCAATCTTTATTACTGTTCCCTGTTCTATTATTTCGCGCTGATTAGCCGTCTTAAGTTCGGGGGGCCTCGCAAGGCCCTGTCGAAAGGCAACGGACGTTATAACTTCCTGATGTGTGGCGTGATAAAAAAAGCGTGAAAGAAAGCGAGACGGCGGCTGAATCAGTACTAGCGCTACTTTGATCGAATTCGGGTCACAAAGAGCTCGCTTCGTCACCGGTTGAATAGCCCTGGCTACAAGGAGGTTGGATTAGGTGAGGCTAAGTTACGAGGGTGGAGGGGCCCTAGCAGCAAGACGGCGTCTTGAATGGGGCACGTGCTACCGTCGTCGTGATCTTTGGGCCTTACGTCTGGCGATCTGTCTCTCTCTTTCTCTCCTTCCTTTCCGTTTGTCCGTTTGCCCGTCCATCTGATCGTCTAGAGACGGATCTAGGTCTAGACTAGGGAACTCCTTGATGTTTCTTTTGGCTCGGCTCGCCAGCTGCTCCGCCAAAGTTGCGATTCCTTCGGCACGTGTCTCTCTTACGTGTACGAATCTTTTTATATATAAACCAAGCCGTCCTCTTGACAATAGTGACCATCACGGATACATAGCGTTGCGATTTTGCTTTTTGATTACGATGCGATCTGATTCGATATCTTACGCATTTCGAAATATACAAGAAATTGATAATCTCTGTGTAATGAATATTGTCCGATGAAAATTAGAAATAAAACTACAAATTGATTTGATTATTACAGAAAAGAACGAACAATGAGTATATTTTTTTTAGAATCAGTGAAAATATTTCCTTTGCTTTTACTACATTTTTAAGTAAAATAATTAATTAAATAATAATCTAAGTAGAATACAATTACAAATTGTTTATGAAAGACACTTTTTGTGCTTCATGGTCAATGTATTATCTTATTGTACATTACATGACTTCATTTACAATAATTTATTTTCTTATCACGTATCTAAAATTTTTATTTAAATGTAAGAGAATTATTATTTTAGTGCTTTTTATTAATATAAATTTCAAGGAATTACACAAATATATTTTGTATCAAAATGTGGTTTACTTCAAGACGCATCGACTTATTGAAAGATGGCGGAATCGCAAGTCTGTACACTCTAAATTTCTTGCAGTCAAATCTCACTCCAAGAGAGTGAAAATACAACCACCCTTGAAGACAGACAAAAATATTTCACTTTTTGAAAAAGAGTAACAATTTTTACTCAGTGAAATCTCACTCCTTTGAAGCGAAAATTCATTCTAAACAGAATGAAAATTGGGTAGTGTATTTTCATTTTCTTGGAGTGAGATTTCACTGCAAAAAATTTAGAGTGCAGTGCGAGAAGAAAGAGTCGTGCGAGGGTGCTCGCGTGCCAGGACACAAATGCGTGCGCACTACGCATCTGTCTCCTTTAGGGCAAGCGCATACACGCACACGCGTTGTTCGCGCGCGTATGATCGCTACGCAAAACGTATTTATACGTATGACGTGTGTACGTAATCCAGCCCTTAGGCATCCGCACGTATGTACAGGCGTGCATGCGTGCGCACGTGCGTGCGTGCGAGTTTGGGCATGCGAGAGCTACATAGTGATGATATATGGCGCATTATATATATATATATATATATATACATATATATATGTATATACAATACGGTCGGTACATCCAGCCCCTAGTTGCTATGCTACTGGTAGGTATACGTACGGCAAGTTATGGCGTATAGCGCGTATTTCTTCACTGTATTGGTATTTCTTCACTGACATACTCTGTCGACAGAAGTCGCAATCCTGAATAGATACTTTCGTTTACCACGACGTTCCGCGACAGCCGCTGAAATGCAATAAATCGGCCGATAACAAATTGCCGCCAAGCGGCAGTCTACTTCGACGCGATAACCAGAATTGCGTGGGGATTTATGATCGAATGGTATCTATATAGCAGGCCATATCGAAACTTACGATTTCGCTTCGTTGTACTTGGAATTTCAAATGTATAGTCGTTTCGTTAGATTCGTTAAATTATAAATAATATAAATAACAATAATTTTTATAAATTATTATAATATTATACATAAATAAAAATTAAAAGTAAAGAAAGTGTTTTATCAAGAGAGTAATAATGTCGAGAGATATAATGAAATAATAAACAAAATCGACAAAATAACATTTAATTTTTTAGAAATATTTTAACTATTACTTTATATTTAAATTATACGTAGAATAAATTGTAAATTGATTTATATTAATATACAAAATTATTGAAAATTCTAACTGTAGAGCTATTAAAATTTAGATGTAAAATAATATAAAATTACGACTGCGTGCGGTGGATGTATTAGCTATTTTCACAGATCCATTAAATATATCTATTATGGTAGTGTATTCAATCATTAACTAGCATTGCTGTTAGCGCGTAACGACAATGATGGAATTTCTATACAGAGTTGACGTATTGCAAACAAACTTCGTATCGAACGCTACCGCCGTCATCACCAATAAATCAGGAATAATAGATCCGCTGAAACAAGTCCAATCTCTCGAAGCTACTTTCACTTCATTCACTCCGCATTTACAGTTCCGTACGCAATGGCAAAATACGAATAACAAATCAATCGATTTCGAAATCTCTTCATGGAGAATGCAATGTTAAAGAATTATTAATTATAATTCTAGCGAAAAAAATTCAATTTTTATAATATAAACGTTATTATTGTTAAACAAAAATAATTTTAATTGTAATTATTTGAATGTTATCACAGTACTTGATGAATAACGAGTTTGATGTTATTTATCAAACAATAGAAATTCACACATATATATATATATATATATATATATATATATACTTGGCTTACTCTTAGATATTATATATAATCTCGTAATTTTTAGCGTTTCATTTTCTTGCATTTCTTTTTTCACATTACAAAAACACTTAAGAATAAAATTAGCTTATTGCTTTTTGACACTTTTAGAAGCAATTAATTTATTACACATTAATTATTTTGCGCGCAATTTATTTACGGTAAACGAACTATATCACTACAGTTATAACATTCAAATTAATTAATAGGTGATAATTGATACAGAAAGCTAATACGCACACATACATACATACATAATCTTTCCAATAATGTTGTTTAAATTTAATAAAGATCCTATATAATTACAAAGCAATAATTACATATAGAATAATAAACTCATGCGTGTACATTAATTTCAAGCATATATAAAGTAAGACAGTTTTACGTGTTACATATAATATAACAATAAACGTTGCCTGCAAAATGATCAGCTACTTGTTATGCTACCGGGAGCCGGGGTTACAAATGCTATTACGCGACGACATTGGAGTCAGAATTTTTCGACGACGGCGACGGGTTGACCGTATCTCGTTGTATTTTAATGTCATTCCTACTGTGTTTTCGTTGGCACGGAGATATCCTGCTGCGCCTGCAGGATTAATCGATTACACACTCGTTCATCCTCATCCGGGCGTATGCGAGGAATCCTCTCTCATTTGGACTAATTTCTCTTCCTTTTATACATATAGTATTTGGCAGCAATTCTGATTACGTGCTTCGGTAATGTTATAATTAAGTTGATCGAGATATGACGTAAAATTCTAAGATTTTAACTGATAACAGAAGATTATATTTCCTCCAAAGATTCGTGTACCTCTGAATCATAAAGCAATACTTGGAAAGTGGAATGATAAAAAAGATTTTGGGAGTTTTAATTATCTAATATCTGAACATCTTTTAATTAAATGATTACATATCTTTTATCAACATATTTATAAGTCATATTTATTTTAAACAAACTTAGCGATAAAAATTGTATGATAAAAAATTTAATTATTATTCCAACTTTCGTATACTATTGTTTTGCGCACTGAGAGAAATGAGTCAAATGAATTTGTTATAGGAACAAAAAAGGGATAACAAATGTGATAGTTTGGTACGAAAATGAATCAATCAGTTACTATTGCGAATAATTTCTCATTATTCGTTAATGTAACAAATAATACACGATTTATGATATAAATAAAAATAATCAGTATTGCTAGTAAATAAAAGTCTATAAAAAAAATAGGTTTTGTATAAATTGTTTCTATTATTAATAACTGGTTGGAATAACAGACTAGCATTAATCATAACAAATTAAAACAATATAATTTGTTGTCTACATCAATAAATAATTTGTTAAAGATACTGGTGCCTTGTCAAATTAACAAAATCTCTCAGTGCGAATAACGCACAAAAATTGTTACAATATAATAATTTACGAAATAATTTTTTTCTGATTATTCTTTTTTCTGTTTATATAAATAAATTTTTATGTATTATTTTATAGATTTTATACTTCTGCGAAATAATACATAAAGAGGAAACACACACACCACATATCTTCGATCTATTTATCAAGGTTATCTTCGATATGTGATAATTTATCTTTGTGATAATGCGTATTTATAAAAACCGCTCCGTCTAACTTTCTAATTAGTTACAATATTTAAATAAGTGAGGAAGGTGTGTTAATGTAACAAACGATACGTTTTTTTTTTCAAATTCTTAAGTTGACTAAACAACAGACTATGAGGGGTAAGCACTTAATATATTTTTATAATAATGCATAGATTATTGAACGATGAAAATATACATATATTTATATTATATATACCGGAAGATTTTTATTAATTGAAATTTCTATAAATTATAACATATATTAAATAATTGACATTTCTCTAATTATAATAAAGTCGACTATATTACGATTTACAATAATTATACTGTAAATGATATCCTATAATGTGATTCGATATAGGAATATACGTAATTGTCATCACCTTCCTGGGATTTTGGGCTAACAATGAAGTTATTGCAAAGGAAGATCAACTTGAACAATCGATTTTGAAAGAAGGATACTACGAGGATGGCATTCCGACAAGATGTCCATATCGAGAGAGCAACACAACCACGACCCATATCCCACATGAAACCGATTGCACGAAGTTTTACAAGTGTCAATGGGGTACAAGAATCTTGATGGAGTGTCCTCTGATCGAGGGAACTCAAATAAGACTGCACTATAATAGACGCGGACAGGTCTGCGATTGGCCGTGGACAGCCGACTGCGTTCATTGTCCTTTACAAAACAAAAATGGCATTTGGCCGCAGTCCAAATTATCTTACGACATACAGGATTGTAGTGCGTACTATGTGTGCATAAACGGTAAAAAGAATTTGCAATATTGTCCTGTGAATACGTGCTTTAGCCGTACATGTCAAAATTGCGTTGTAAATCGTTCGGGTGGAAATTGCGATCTGTAATGTCATGCAAGGACGACAAAAAATATCTTCACGGATATAATTGCAATTGTTATTATGTATTATCAAGAGTGAGTTGTTTAAAATCTTACGATGGCGGTCTTTATTTTGTATTACTCCTGGCGTAGGTTAAATGCCTTTATAAAAAATAGATATTAATTTACAGTGTTCACCATTGCAAAATTAAGCGTGCTACACTTTCGTCTAAAAAATCAATAAAAAAACAATCCTGATTAAAAAACTATAAATATCATGTATCAGACTATCAGTCAGATTAATTACTTGAACTTAAAATAAACTCAGAAGATAGGAAACATTCTTTGGAACGATTCTATTTTATCCTTTAGCAAAATGATTAAAAGAGGCATAATGAGATATGTGGAAATTAAACGAGAAATGGAATACATAAGTGAACCTGTTTCCATCGGCTCTATTTATATTAAGACAATTTGAAGATATAGTTATCTGAAGTAGATATTACATCCCAGGTTAAAAGGTGATTTTCGCGCGCTGCAGAGCGAAGGAGTGGTCTATTTTCTTAGAGCTAGCTGTTTGTACTGACGTATTCTTATGAGCAAACCGCCTGGCCTGTATCTCAGATGCAATCAGTTCCAACCGCGAAAGAATGAGCGGATTGCATGTCGGCTACCCGCGTTACTACTTGTAACACGCGCGAATTATGTAAGTACCGAATCGTGCGCGTGTGCCAACGCGAGCATGTACGCGCTACTGTTATTGTGCGATAGTGTATCTATATTAGATGGCATACCTCTACTGTCTCTACCTCACCTCTCACTTCTTTTCCCTTTATTCCGCATACTCATGCGTGATTTATGTGATATCCCACGTGTCTGCCATAACTTACGGCGGAGAGTCTCAAAGCAGAATATCAAAAGACTTCACGGATGTCTATAATGCTTGTATCTTATGAATTAGGAAAATCCTTCTAAGAAAGTGACAACAGAGATAAACAAAATCATTGCCAGCGAATCAACAATACATTTGTGACATCAATATATGACATTCTTTTGTCTTAATTTTAATTTAAGTTATATACTCTGACGTGTAGTCTATAATACATTGTAGTATTTCCTTACTAAAAATATATAGTTATATGCATATACACACACAAAGGATCTTGGATAATATTTTTAGTTGAAGCCAAATGCTCCAAAGATAGGCTCTGTTTAATCTCTGACGAAGTAAATGCGCGTTTTGCTTTTCGAGAGAACCCGGCGGTTTACGCCGCTACGGGATATTGGGTAGAAAAAGCATTGGCAGTATAGCGAGTTTTACGATGAAACGCGTAACGGCAATACGTTTAAAAATAATTGCCGCCTCGATGGCAACGATTAATGCTATTGCCGGAATTAATTATTGTGGCGGTAGCTTATTAGATATTTTTTTATTACCGCTCGTTAAACGAGCGCACGCGAGCGCAGACGAGAGAGACTTGCTCTCGGTACACATTCTCCGTAAATGATATCATTCGAAAGTTTATTTTTATCAAACACACGTTTTGTTGAGGGAGCGCTCAACATAAAGTTAACGCTCGCTTATCATTCCCGCTGACGGCTTTACAGTCAGGCCCCGTTGTTCCTAGCCCGGGGATGATGCCTGAGTTTTGTGACGCATGTTCAAACATACGGGATAAAAGGAACGATTTAATTGTCAACATGACAGAGGAAACGTTAATAAATACTTTCAAGTGATAGATATAGACAAACACTAATGATCTCTGATAAGGCAAAAGGCCATTTCTTTTTATGATAATCATCCACTGCCCTATACGTCACCCTCGTTGTCCCGAAGCAATTAGTCGACGAACTTTTGTGATATCTCTGCCGATAATCTCTGGCGATGTGAGTAACGTTTAAACGCTTCGTAATGTCAGTTGAAACTCCTCTTTTTTTCATTCTTAGTGCGTCGTGAAATTTGAACAGGTATTTTAGATTTGAAATAATTAGTGGGTGAAGAAAATTTGCGACAATTGAAATTTGCTCAACAATAATATTGATATCCTCTGCAATTTAATGATATTAATTGAATGTAAATAGAGACAATTGTAATAGAATGCTCGTAATAGCAAGCGTTAGATTCGTTAAATGAATTAACGCTACATTTCTCATCTCTAATTCAGTCCTGTCCGTTTTGTTTGTGATGTAAATATGAGATAATTTAATGCAGCACGTATTTGTTATTAAGAAGTTCGTCCTTTTAATTAATATATGTATATAAAAGAAATAAGTTTAACACTAGAATATAAAAATAATCGAACGTTTCTCAGTTTGAATGACTTGACATTTTTTCCACGGTCTTTTTTGTTTTATGTAAGTAGAATCTGGTTAAGAGAAAATTAATGATATGTAAATTCGATAAAATTTCTGATAAGAAATCACGTTTCGTGACGATCTCACCTCTCGTGCAGATGGCAGCGTGAATCCGTTTATCGACGGTCGTTCAATGATGACGATGAGATGGAGAACACCGTTTAATGCCAGTACACTTCGTAGCCAACACTCCACTTCACTTGGGACTCATATTATATGCATTTGTCTGACACTTTTCAAAATTCACTCTTCGAACAAGTCAACTTCTCACAAAAAGGAAACCGATATATTGATCGACAATGTTTCGTTTCTTTTATCGTCACGTTTCAAACAGGCTTATCTTTCATAAATCGTCCATCAGTTTGCACCACAGTCGATCTTTCATAGTTCACGTGAAAATAGTTACAGAGATTACAGAGATACTTTCAATGATAGAACGATATCGAATGAAATACATATACTTTGGAAAATAACTCGGAGATCTTAAATGTAGCGGGAGTATAACAATGTTGTTTACCGCATCATTTTCCACATCCACGGTCGTGTTATGGATCTCGGATCAATAAATAATCCAAACACAGACCAGTTCCAAGAAATTTCAAATAATTACAATCATCGACCCAACAATGTATCATTAGTCCTGGGAACCCAGTCGTGACTTCTTGATAATCAAGGAAGTTTTTTCTCGAGAGACTACTCTCTTAATAATTTTCCATCCCGATGGAAGCCCGCGATTTAAACTTTTCTTCGCTTGAAATCCATGATCAATTTGATATCCAGAAGCAAAACGGTCGTCTTCTCTTCGCGATTTCTTCTGAAGATTGACGCGCGTCCTCTCTTCGCGATTTCTTTCGAAGATCTCACCGATCCGATCGTGGCCTGGCTGTTTCTAGGACACGTGATAGTTCCTCCAAGGATACCGAACGAGGTAGTGCGCGCTGCGCTGCGAAGTGCGATCTTCAAGCGGGGCGCACGAAAATGACTGGATCAAAGGGGTGCGCCGCAACAGGTGAGAGGGAAAGGGAGAGAGGGCGGAGTGGGAGGGATGGTAGAGCGTTGAAGGAGAGAAAGAGAGGGCTGGACGATGACGACGATAGTGGTGTTAACACCGCGCGTAGTAGCGGACAGTCGGCGACTAAGGCCCCTGAGGAGAAGTCTCACCTCTCTCTCCTCCGTCTCTTCTCTCGTCCTCTCGTACCTCTCTTCCGACGGGGTCTCTCTTTCCACCACACGCGTGGCCACCGTCACACTGTCGTGCGCGCGCGCGTGCATCTCCGCCACGCACGACGGTACCTTCCTATCCTTCGACTCCCTCCAATCCCGCTAACCCGCGCGGGCCACCCTCTCTCTCTCTCTCCCTCCCTCCCCCCTCTCTCTCTTTCTTTCGTATCAATAGAACATACTGCATTTTCCATCGGAACGAATGCGCGGGTACTGCGGTTAACTACAGTGTAGAACCACATGCAGATGCACACATGGGCGCGCGCGCGCGCGTGTGGGTACATCGGATTCGCGGCAGCGGCGGCGGTGGTGTCGGTGTACGTATCGGTAGGAGAGAAGTGGGAGATGGGACACGCGACACGAGCCTTGGTAGGGAGAGAGAGGGTCAGCGGGAGTGGGGCACGCATGGTCTCCCCTCGTTCCTCAGGGTTCCCCCTTCGCGAGGCACCCTCTCCTCTCTCCGTCGGACGTCTTGCTCCTTCTCTCCTCTCTTTCTCTACTCCATTCTCTCTACCGGTCTCAGCCTCTCATTCGCGAATCGAGTGCTTCTCCATCTCCTTCGATTACCCGCGATACTCCGGTTTCTCGCGCGTTTCATGTAAATACATACATTCGTAGAGTCTCGTTCAACTTGCGGGAAGACTTTTTTTGGCTTCTCTCTCCCTCGAAATGCGTTTATCTTTGAAACCACTTAATATGTTTCACGGAGCATACGCTTTATGATTTGTAGACTCACAACAACTTACTAATTAATTAAACCGACACTCGATCGATGAGAATAATCAAAAGTTATATTAGTTTAATTCATCATTTATAAAATCAATGTTATTGCGTGTTGCAAATCTTTTTTTCACACAAAAACATTTCTTTCAAGAATAATAAATAAATAAGTAGAGTAAGTACAGATAGGTATATTTGTATGAGATAGTCGGCTTTTGATAACATATTTGTCGTAATTATATGCGCAGTGAATTTAACTGTTATACACGTGTGATATCGGTTAATATATAATAGAACGTCTCATGAACGTGAGACTACCTCCACAGATTATAGAGATAACATTCTCATTATCGAAACTATCAAGTGCTTTTAACAATATTATGTTATATAATAATATGATATATACCGTTTATGAATTATTTTATATAATCTATTGTACTCACCGCTTTAAAATTTCGCTCCTCATTCACGTATGTTGGATGGATTACCTCCACCATTGTAAGAGATTTTAATGTAGGCAGCAATTTGATAATTTTTCTGAGACACAGCATTCATTTCATAACATCGATTTTATAAAAGAAAATAATTGATAATAAATTGATAATTTTTCTAGAGTTACTTCAAAACTAATACGATATGCTTTCATGATATTTTTTTGCACTGTTTATGACAGTGCGCGTTGATAAAAAAACGTTAACAATAAAAGTTCTCGTAGTAAATTGACTAATAATTATTTATATTCAAAGAAACGTCAACTA